AGGCTGGGGTCGTCCCCGACCCCTTCCACCTGCCTTGGTCACACGACACTCGACATCTCCTTGTCATGACCCCCGGAAGGGATGGGGGGGAGGTCGAGCGCAGCTAGGCGCGCCTGCTCTGACAGGAGCAAGCGTGCCGCACTGACCCTACTAAGGACCGAGGGAAAGTCCCCTTGGTCCGGTCAGACACCATCCTAGTGCCATGTCGCACCAACGAGACAACACCGCACCACGGTGGCAATAGGTACGATACCCACCGTCCAAATACGGACCGACTAAATGCTTGTAAGATCCCATCCACTACGGGATGGGATCCACGATAACGGACTCGACGAAAGGGCCATCCAGTCCGGCAGAATGCCCCGACTCTGAAGATCGGGGTCGTGGCCCTGGGCCCCACAAAGCGACCAAGCGAACGACGACCCGGGGCGGCTACGTACTTTGGGTACGACGCCCCTAGGAACCAGGAGACGACGACGAAGGCCACGACGGACACCGTGTGCATAGGATGGCTGACGAACCACCATCGAGGCTACAGTGCCGCCACGGCCGACATAGTAGCGCCATGTCACACTCTACCGCAACGTGGCTAGAAGACCATGACGATAGCCACAACCGGACGTGCACCAGAAGACGGCGTAGCTTGCAAGCCAAGTTAGCTAGAACCTCCCTCAGGCTCTCGACCCTTCGGTCGGGAGAACCTCCTGCTTTTTATGCGTCCTGGCCCCGAATTCTATATAAGAGCAACCAGTGCACTCTTTCTAGACATTCTGAATCATCTACCATTCACCATTATAGTAAGGCTCCTGGAGCTTCTCTTCGAGCAGCCCTTCGCCTAGCATAGGTCCTTTCATCTCTTACACCATTCTTGCACCCCCATTATAAGAACTTCAGAGCATTCAAGCGAGGAACACGCACTCGATCATATCTGAGACTGGACGTAGGGCTTCGGCCTGAACCATTGTAAATCCTCGTATCTATTGAATGCCATCATCGTCTTCTTAGAGGAGCACAACAATCATATAAGTTTGTTAGTCTGGTTTAAAAAACACCGACACGAGCGTTAGCTGCAATGCAGGCTCGGGGCTAGTCAGCCATCCAAACACGTTGAGCCTGCATTAGCTAAGCCTGGATAGGGCCTGTGCCTCCCGACCAGCCTAGAGAGCCTTGTCCAGCAGCTCCGCACAATCCTTCTATTTCTATGCACGGTGTGCAAATGCCAATGGGGGCATGGGGACGAGGAGCCCGGCTTGACGGCAGTCAACACGGCGGGCGCTTTGGCAGGCTGGCACACCATGAGCGTACCTAAAACACGATACATCATACATGTGCATTTCGTTTTTTCAGAGCGCATGTGCAACGTTATCTCTTGTTCAAACTAGCTTGGAGATGAAAAACAAACAATTGCGTGTTCGTGTTGAAAATGTGCCTGACAAACATGTTGAAGCTCTCTGTTAGGGACCCAGACCTGGGAGAGGAGGAGAGGAGAGGAAGATTCGGATCACGCTCACGCCGGTGGTTCGCTTGACAGAGAAAAACAGGCTCCCTTCCTCCTCCGGTCCTCACAACTCCAAGGAATATGGGCTACGCTACTTGCTCCACCGCGGTCCTGATACGCGGGCGGCAGCTCGCAGTCTTGGCCCATGCACTCCTCCTGGGCTTCGGACTGTTTTCAGCGTGGTCCGTAGAGTGTGTAGTGGTAACACTCGCATCCTCGCGATTCGAGTAACTGAGGAAGAGGCCAGACGCTGTCGCCATCGCCAACGCCAAGCCTTGTTCGTGTTGCCAGCTGCCGCCGCCGCCGCAAAGCCAGAACAGGCCCGCGTTTGATGCCTCCGGGCAGGTGCTGCGGTGCTGCCACGCTGACTGCCTTTATGCCAGCCGCCTCATTACCCACAGACACTCCACGACAGCGGCACGCCGGCACCGGCAGCTCTGCCAGGACTGTGGCCAAGCCTCTCCTCCGGCTGCCTGCCAATCAACAGTATATTCAGGAGGCCTTAAACGATAGTAGATTGGCTGGTTTGGTGTGAGAGAAAAACACTGTTCTTGGCTGAAAATTTATGATTGTTTACCAGCAAGCGAACAGGCTGCTAGTCTCGGAAGTTTCGCTTTAAACCACCATTCTGAACCCTTGGCCTCGTTTAGTCGGCGAAATTTTTTGAAAAACGATACTGTAGCACTTTCATTGTTATTTGGTAATTAGTGTCCAATCATAGTCTAATTAGACTTAAAAGATTCGTTTCGTGAATTTCGTCTAAACTGTGTAATTAGTTTTGTTTTTTATTTATATTTAATGTTTCATGCATGCATCTAAAGATTCGATGTGATGGAGAATCTTAAAAAATTCTATAAAATTTTGAGAACTAAACAGGCACTCGAATCAGAATTCTGCGCTCAAGATGAAGGGAAACTCACGCCGTGACTTAAAAAGGAGGAAAGTCACTCAATCTGAGGGCCTTGGTTCCGGCACGAACTCCTAAAATTTATGTTAAGGCAGTCCCAACGAAAGAAACCAGTAGTTTCTATAACATAGGACACCACACCAAAAAAGTACTGCTTTTCAACCCATGGTTTCTATGAGTAATAATTATTTTCTCTTTCTCTCTCCCAACTCTATCTTCTTCCTCCAATAAGAGTGTGACATGAGCTTCCTAGAAACTGGTGGTTTCTCCCAAATGACGATTTTATGGTTTCTTGGTGCATTGGGTCAAGAGTAGACCTGATTTCTTCACGAGGAAACCATTTCTATGATTTTTGCTTTCTTTCTTCATTAATTACGTTGCCATGTCAGCATTTTGCCTACGTGGCAAGTCATTTAATGAGGATAGAAACCATCATCAATGCACCATTGGGACTGCCCTTACATCGAATATTTGACACATGCATAGAGTATTAAATATAGACTAATTACGAAACTAATTGCACAACTTGCGACTAATTTAGGAGACGAATCTTTTAAGCCTAATTAGTTCATGATTTGACAACGTGGTGCTACAGTAAACATGTGCTAATGACGAATTAATTAGGATTAAAAAATTTGTTTCGTAAATTAGCCTCCATCTATGTAATTGGTTTTGTAATTAATCTATATTTAATGCTCTTTTTTTATATCTAAACATTCGATGTGACATAAATTTTAGGAGCGACTAAAGAACCAAACACCCCCTGAGTCCCGATCGATTGCGCCCTCAAATATGGCAGCTCATATCCAAAAGATTCTACGAGATCACAGTGCCTCTTCGGCTCTTCCCACCATTTTTGTTCACCCTTTTACCTGGCCACACCTTTCTTAAGGCAGAATAGCCATTTTGATCCCTCAACTATTTCTCGAGGCCCAGTTTCGTCCCTGAACTTTTAAAATAGCCGTTTTAGTCCTCAAACTCTACTTTTAGCCTCAATTTCATCTTAAAACTATGAAGATGATCGTTTTAGTCCTCGAACTTTGCATTTTTGGCATTTTATTTATAAACTATCAAAGTGTATTTTGTTCTTTAAACTTTTATTTTCAACACAACGTTGTCTACGTTCTACGTGGAACGCTGTACTGTTGCACATGGTTAGCTTGTACACCATCAGCGATTAGAGATAGAAAAATAATATTCATCCAAAAACTCTTTCGTGATCATTAATAATTTCAAGCTGTTATTTTTAGTGTTATCTTATAATGGTACTATTTATATATATCCGACTAAATGATATTACGGAAGCAATTATAGTTGCATCGAACACTATTTATTCATTAAGAATACATGGATATGTTGAAACAATAGCAGATCTATAATTTTGATAATTTATGGATGAAATTGTGCCCAAAATATAAGGTTCTCTTTTTTTATAGACAAAATTGAGTTGAAAATAAAAGTTAAATACACTTTGATAGTTTATGGATGAAATTGATCCCAAAATACAAAGTTTGAGGACTAAAATGACCATCTTTATAGTTGTAGGATGAAATTGATCCTAAAACTAAAGTTTGAGGACCTAAACGACCGTTTTAAAAGTTTAGGGATGAAATTAAGCCTCGAGTAACAGTGGAGGGACCAAAATGGCTACTGTAGCCTCTCTTAATGCAACTTACTGTCCATGTGTCTGCAAAAAACGGTAAGAAAACCTGTTCCCAAAAAAATAATAAAAAAACTGTAAGAAAACCGTACAGGTAATCTGAATCCTTGAGGGCCCGAGGAACCATTCCTGGTCAAAATGCTTGGCAAATTTATATAACTTTTGATCAGCTGGATTCCTGGTTGGATTTCTGGCTAGCTCGCAGTTGATCACCAACCTGTTTGTTTGGTCGTGTTTAACTTATAAGCTATAACTTATTAGCTAATAAATAATATTTTTCTCTCTTATACCAAATCAGTCAACGATATTTTCAATCATGGCTTATCAGCCAAATAAGCCACAACCAACAGGGCGCGAGTGCCTAGCGTATTCCAGGCGAGGAGTAACTGCATCGCTCTGTGATTTCTCAGCAAACAAGCTGTCAATCTGGATTATACCCACTGATAAAGGCAGTAATTAACATCGCTCTCGCTCGCCAAGGCTAGGACCATTAATAATTCCCTGAATTGTTTATACTACTACTAAGTGTCTGTTTACTTTCCAAAATTTTGCAAAATTTTGTAAAATTCCCCATCACATCGAATATTTGGACGCATACATAAAACATTAAATATAAATAAAAAAGTAAAACTAATTATACAGTTTAGACGAAATTCACGAAGACGAATCTTTTAAACATAATTAGACTATAATTGATATTAATTATCAAATAACAACAAAAATACCACAATATCATTTTTCAAAAAATTTCACCAACTAAGCCGGGCCTAATTCCTAGCCAACTTTGGTGCACGCCTTCGAGTATTATTATATATATATATATATAGATATATATATATATACAAATCCCCCTTCCACCCACGCCTCGGCTTTAGGAGTACTTCCAAAGCGCCGAACCAGAGGCAGGCACCTCGATCGGCAAGTGCTCGGTTGACATGGAGGGCGACAAGAAGGCGGCGGCCGCCATGGCGGAGGAGGTGGTGGAGCAGAAGACGAAGGAGGTGGCTGCTGCTGGTGATGTGAGCCTGAAGGAGCTGTCGAAGAAGCTCAACGACTTCGCCAAGGAGAGGGACTGGGAGCAGTACCATAGCCCCAGGAACCTGCTCCTCGCCATGGTTTGCATCTTCTTCTTCTCTCCGCTTTCTACTAGTCTCTAATCTAAATCTAATCCTGTGTTGCCCTTCGTCTTCTCGTGTTTCGCCAACATGTGTCTCTTCAAGACTGAAGAGGTTAGGGTTTTCTATGTGCTTTTGCCACTCGTCTTTTTTCACCTCTCGGGCGATGATTTTGGTTTCCTTCGTTAATCACTAGTAGATCGAGAATTACGCCCCCCAATATTCAGTCAGGAAAGCATAATTTGGGCAAGTAGTATGGTCCCCATTGCCGTTGGGGACTCGTTTTCCTCGTGACGCCGAATGATCAATGGTTTCGGTTAGTATCGTGTTTTGGATGCATATCACTGCACACTGCACAACACGTCATGGCTACAAAAGCATGCCTTTTTATTAGCTTTCAGGGCGTGACCATGCATGGCATTTTCTTCATGATCTCCTGGCTCCTGCAGTAAACTACGCATGTCCAAAAACTATTTTGAGTTCCGCAGCTGTAAGTGTGGCATACGTAAGTGGTAACTCGATCAAGTATGGATTTGGTTTACACTACTTCACGACATGTACAGTACTGTACTACGCGTTATTGTAGTCCAAAAATACAGTACTTGACGACATATACAGTACTACTACGCGTTACTGTTGTGATTAAACTAAGGCTGTGTTTAGTTGGAGAGAAAGTTGGAATTTGGGTATTGTAGCACTTTCGTTTTTATTTGGCAAATAATGTTCAATCATGGACTAATTAGGCTCTACTGCAATTAGTTTTTTTTAAATCTACATTTCTTCTTTCCATACGTATCGCAAGATTGATGTGATTACTTTTTGGAAATATTTTTGGAACTGACCACGCGCTAAACCAAAAAAAATTTGGTTACCACTGCACCTCTCAAGACGAGAGGGAAACAGTACCCATCCATCGTCTGAGCAGGAAGCATCTCTAGAAGACTACAGGTCTAGAATATCATGTGCACATAGACAATGTCTCCGTCTCTTAAAGGAAGAGAACTTATACTAGTAGGTCGCAGTTAACATCGAGGGCTCCCTGCCAAAGGCTATGATAAAAAAATTCTTCATTCCATGGCCACCATAGGTTTGTTATCTATATAGATTAAATTATCACCATATAATGCGTTCTCTTTTGACCAACTGTTCATTAGATTCTCCTTTGATTTACGCAAATAAAAAAAGATTCTCCTTTGATTAGTATTTTTTTCCCAGGCCTTGTTTAGATCACCTCCAAATTCCAAGTTTTTTCACTCTCTCTCTATCACGTCAATTTTTAGCCGTTTACATGGAGCATTAAATGTAGGTAAAAAAAATAACTAATTGCACAGTTTAGTTAGAAATCACGAGATGAATCTTTTGAGCTTAGTTGATCCATGATTGGACAATATTTACCAAATAAGACGAAAGTGCTACTATTCATCGGTTTGAAATTTTTTGCAATCTAAACATGGCCCCAGTAGCGCGACTAGCTAGATTCTTGAGATCTATCTGATTTATTCGTTTCACTTAACTAACTGCATGTGGACGGCGGAATTTGTACCTGAGAATTGATCATCATGCACGCATTTATACCTACTATAGGTTTTCCAGATATATACTTACATGTGTATCACAGGGTTGTGGCGCCGCAATGCATCTAGAATTTTTGTTCAGAATTTTGGTTTTGGATTTTTTCTTCAGAATTTTGGTTTTGGAAGAGAAGGAAACTTCTTGATAACCACATTGATGGGGACAGGACATTCTGCATTATTCCCTCTCACCCCCTGATATTTTCGGAGACTGTGCTGAGCCTGAGAAAGTTCATGCCGTCCAGCCGGCCATGTGTGGGTTGGTTCATGGGAGGAGCAAAATGGAACAAGTAAGGCCTTGTTTAGATTGTAAATTTTTGTAACTTGGATATTGTATCATGTTTCGTTTGTATTTGATAAACTTTATCTGATCATAGACTAACTAGACTCAAAAGATCCGTCTCGTGATTTACAACCAATGGCCTGAGCGGCTGAACCGGATCGAATGCAACTTTCAGGTGTCACATCTCGGATAGTCGGATGCCACGTGGCCCTGGCCCCTGTCGAAGCAAAGCCTTGTTTAGATGCCATCCAAATTCCAAGTTTTTTCACTCTCTCTCCATCACATTAATTTTTAGCCACTTGCATGGAGTATTAAATGTAGGTAAAAAAAATAACTAATTACACAGTTTAGTTGGAAATCACGAGATGAATCTTTTGAGCCTAGTTGGTCCACGATTGGACAATATTTGTTAAATAAGACGAAAGTGGTACTATTTATCGGGTTTAAAAAATTTGCAAAGTGAAATAGGCCCAAATTTCCCGCGTCACCGCTGGATTTGCTGTTGTCACCTCTGACGTGGTTATGCTGGTTCAGACATCATCAGGGTCACTGCTGATTTGCTTAATGATGATCACTGTCAGCTTGTGACTAAATTTTCTGAACTGAAGGGAATTCGATTCGCTCCTCGTCATTCCGATTCTTCTTTTTTTTTTAAAATGCATCTACCGCACATTCTCGCTTGGAAAAGAAAGGACCTTTTCTTGGTTCCCTTTGTTAAGGAAGGCGAGAGAGCTTAATGATTTGATTTGTTTTGTGCCTGACAGATTGCTGAAGTCGGGGAGCTGTCAGAGCTGTTCATGTGGAAAGGGGAGGTGCGGAAGGGCCTCGCGGACTGGGACGAGGCCGAGAAGGAGCACCTCGGCGAGGAGCTCTCCGACGTGCTGCTCTACCTGATCCGCCTCTCCGACATGTGCGGCGTCGACCTCGGCGACGCCGCCACCAGGAAGATCGTCAAGAACGCCGTCAAGTACCCGGCGCCATCCAAGGAAGGCGCCTGATGACGAACGATACCGCCTCTTTTTCTTCGATGCTTTGCAATGGCTGATTGGCTGGCGCTTTCTAGAACCAGCGAGCTACATGAACTGATGCTTCAAGCTTTTCTTTTGTAGTGCCTTTTCATTCAAAGGTTAATACAAATATTACTCGTCTGATAGCTTTTCTCTTTTCAACTGGAGTCGGATAGCTTTTATGTCGACTTTGTTATGTCCAAAACTGAATCTATAAATGAGCAGAGCAAAACAACGTTGGCGTGTGTGCTGCGGTGACAATAATCGAAGAGACCGCACGGCGTTTGGCGCGATTACTCGGCCGCCGCTGCGGGGTACGCGGTCTCAAATGGGGCCTAAACAAGTACTATGAGCAGTTAAACTGTGCTACATAGAAGATTGTCACAGAGCCACTGCCACTGGCTGATGGTGATCGGGGTGCCAGAATGGGGGAACTGTATCGCTAGTGGCAACTCCTAGCAATTTTATGGAAGACATGTTCTAATTATTAAGAACGGTGGAGAGGAACAGGTCAGCCCAACTCACCTAGCCCATGCGGCCCATTCCCTTGCATAGCCCAACAGAAAAGCTCACAATGGCCGCACCTTGTCAAAAAAATAAAAATAAAAATAAAAATGGGCGCACTCAATTTTTTTGTCATCTTCTCCAACTCCAGTAACAGACTAACAATTCGACTTTGCTAAAAAAAGAAAAAAAACTAACAATTCGACCAACCTGACAAAATTGGCCATTCATAAGAACAAGTGTTAATAGATGTATACCGAAAACTGTTTATTTAGAAAAATAAAATGACCTATAATTTAAAACTAATGTAATAGTTTTCCTCCCCCAAATTGTAAAACCAAACATTAACCCTCCTTCAAGTAATAAAACTGGTTGTTTTTATGCCTGATGACTCGACATGGCAGCAATTTTAAAACTAATTGTTATGAATTCCACATGTCAATCCTAAACTTCTTCTTTCCTCTCTTTCACTTATGCCTTTGTACGAACACATTAGAGACGTTGTTGCCATTGTCCCAATACCAACACCAGTGTCAGTCCATACCGTGCCACTACCCCTAAACAATCTCCTTGACAATAGCACCCGCCACAAAGTGACATAACAATCAAAACCAATCCTGCCCATGTTGCTCTAGCAACAGCCACCACAACAATAGCTAAACGAAACATTACACCATGACACCAGGATAGTGTCTCGGATGACATCTCTCATTTGATCGATTGGGGATTGTTGCATTTGTCATAGCGAGTCTTGAACACTCTCCCATACAAACCACTTGCCACATATAGGATTAATAAGTCTAGTATTATGCTTGACCATGTAACCTTGTGGATTTGGTGCGATTTGGTGCCTGGAGTAACTAGAAAGCTAGTACCCCAACACATTTTGGCCGTTTATTGGTCAACTTGGCCCTGTATTAGAAAGGTTGAGGTCATGAGTTACCCATTATGGATCGTCGGGTCGTCTAGGCGGCAGCCTTCGTTCTCTTATGGGTAAAACTTCTACCCTCTATAGAGTTTTGAATTTACTATTTCACAATGCCACACTCTTGATTATAATCACATTCATGATTTCTAGCTCAAAGTAATTATTGCGATGAAATGACTCATGTAAGATCGATCTCTACCCTATGCTAATGTTCACGCTTCTTATAATACCACTTGCTATGCCCAGATTTAGTTGTTAGATATCATTTACTTTATGCATAATTGCTTTTGTGCAAACCAACTTTGCACCTTGGCATAGCGCAAATGTATATTACCTCACTTATTATACTAGGCAAGTCCTATGGAGTGCACTCGTGTACTCATGGGGCTACACTTGAGTTTTGCAAGTGAGATGGCCTCAACCTATGGCTATTTCTATGTCCCTGATCCTTCAGTGGACTAGGAGTGAAAGCATAGCTATATGAGAGGTGTAGCCCATGGATGTCGCATGGTTCACATGGAATGTATTTTAAAACTTTTGTATAATTAGACTTTGATGTAGTACTTTGGGTAATGTGTTGAATAACATGTGATGTAACTTGGCTACCTTTATGTTATTAAGTTGAATTTATGTGAGCTATGTATTTTCTTCTTTAGCAATGGATCCTAGTTATGCGCGTAGTGGATATCATGGATTGTGCGATTCCAGGGACGACCGAATTAATCATATTGAACCAAGTGCTGATCCAAGGATGACAACTTGATTTAGTGTAATTAATTAGAGGGTCATCACAGTGGTCATAATTACAAAAACTAGCATTTAGGATCATATGTGTATATATTTTCCCTAAAGAAAAGGCAGCTCTAAGGTCATAGTATTTCACTGTAGATCTAGAATCAAGCGCTTTTGCACTGCAATAAAAAAACTAATATCACAGCAATCTCAAATGCCAATCTTTTACACAGGTGAATACCCCGCCCGTCCCAAAAAAATTAATGTTTTAGGAATTTTAGGATAGAGTAGTGCTCAACAAAATTGCACATATATGCCTATTCATTAAAGGTGAATCATGCTAATTAAAGAATAAGCCCCTCATTAAAAGGAATGCATGGAGGCATGGAGGCATGGAGACATAATGATATAGGCCCAATCTATTGTCCAACAATTAAACCATCATATTTTCTAGGACATGTTTTGAATCCTAGAACATCTACTTTTTTGAGACAGGAGGGAGTACTAGTCAGGACCTAGCTATCCAAACACAGGTGAACTAATTTTTAGTTAACAATATCAATCATGCAACATTGCAAGTGTGAGAGAGGGATGGGAAATGTGAGAGAGGGATGGGAAAAAAGAGTGGGCTGCTATCTTCCTTGCACTCACGTGATATACTAGGATTATTACATACTTGGAAGTTGCTATCGTATACTATACTTCCTATATTGATTACAGCCTGCATATATTTATCCACATATGTACAGATTGTATCTACATTACATTACATTGCATGAGTACATGCATTATATTTTTTTTCCCAATCATTTACCTATCTTGTTGGTTAATTAACTAGATCAAAACTTGTCAGACGCCTCTGGTCTTCTGATTGATCGGTCGATCGATCATCCAGTACTACGTGCAATCAGCAGAGCTAGCTATCCAGCAGTAGACACGTCGATCTATCGGCCACACATGCTGCAGTTACAATGTGTCTGAGCTGCTCCCTTGACTTCTGACCTGCTGAATCCGTTGCCGTAGCCTTCTCCTGTGGTCATGGATTTTCCAGAGCCCATGGCCAAGGACAACGGTGGAGTATATGCCGTGGGTGATCATAGGTGCGAGGATATTGTCGGTCTGCGTTGTATCCATATCACACAAAGATATTGTCAGTCGTTGCATGAATTATATTTCTGATGATGAACTTAAATCTGATATCATGGCCCTTCATGCATGACCTACTATGCTATGCGTACCTGGATCCATTCGAAGCCAAGGTAGAAAGCCAAGATTCCTTCTAGAAGTGGGGAGTATATCTTCCTCATTTGCCTCCTCTCGTACCAAGCTGCAAATCCATGGATATGTCAAAGGTTAAAGCTAACTATTCGTTTGTAATACTTTTGCATTACTACTCTGCTTTGGGTTGAGGCCTGCATGTCTCTCTAGCACACTCTAACTACTTTGCAACATCAGCACAGTTACAAAAGAATCTCTATATGGGCAAACAAACCTGCAAATAGTTTTTTTAGGTTCTCCCGCCCTGTGCGTGAACGCATTGCTGGTGTCACTACATACGTAGGGTCTGAAATTGAAATGAACAACACATATGTCACTTCACATATATAGCTTATTAATAGATCTCAGTATGAATATCCTTGATCCTATCTACCCGAAAAAAACAAAGAAATTAACATATTCATGCAAATAAGGACTGTCGTCAGTAGAACATCGATCACCTTTCGGAGCTGTGGCGATATAGTAGAGGGTTCCTGTGAGGGCTGCAGTGATGACTGCTGCGAACGTTTGAGCAAATGGAACTAAAGGAGGAACAATACCACTCTGCATTGCATGGGTACAGTTTCATAAAGACATATATTAGGTGGTCTTGTATATATCACAATATTCAGTTTCATCTCAATTCAGCTGAAAAGCATATACATACCAGTGACGCAATCCCTCGAGCATCTTTCATTAGCTCCGTGCTTCTCAGGAAAATATCAGCCAATGCTCCCTACAATTTCCGTGTTTTTACCATCAACAATATGAGCAAATTAAATGAAGTGAAAAACACAGTTTCCTCCACATAGCTGTAACAAAGTAAACTTAATAACCATAATGAGAATGGACATGCAGCACATACCTGAATAGCTGCACGGTAGAACAGCTCCTCGCCAATTGAGCTAGCAGCCACGATGAGGATGAACTACAAATATAAGTAAATATTATATACTTCCCATTTTATATTAATTATAGCTAGAGTTCCAAGCCATTCTCCATAACTGCTGACACATCTAGTGCTATTACTAGAGTGATTACACGTTCCATATTGATCACTAAATCTATTTAGGCTTGGAAATTTGAGTGGAAAATATGCACAGCCAACATTGACAGATCATCAAGAGCCACGCTGCAAATTAATATCAAGGGTGCTTTAAGTACCTGCCAAGGTGACATGCCATAGAAGAAGCTGCGAAGCTCCTCATCCTCCACATCACGGATGGCACGCGCATGAGGCGAATATTTGACAACTTCATCCTGAAAAGTAGAAATTAAACCACATGCAAGTTATCTACTATAGTACTGGTTAAGCAGAGATAATAAAAGGCAAATTAAAAGGAATTGAAATGGGGCTAGCCACTAGCTGATCCGAGTAGAGCTGAGAATATGAGAGGACGGTGTACATACATCAAGGATGAAGAGCAGAGCCATGATTGGTGGAGCTGCATAACCAAGCCCCTCGACAAGTGCCGTGAGAGATGGATGGAAGCCCCCCGTGCAGTCAATCCCGGCCATTTGGCATATGAATCTCCCGGTGAGCGCCATGGCCCCGTAGATCCCTGTGCAGACATCGGCAGATTGACCAGGAGGGTTAATTGAATGCATGCATGCTCATGATGCAATCGGCCTGTTCGCTGGTTGGTTTCTGGGCTGGTTTGGGCTGGCTAGTGCTGATTTATTATGAGAAGAAAACACTATTGGCTGACTGGTTTGAGCTGGTTGAAACCAACGAGCGAACAGATGAATAAATAAACTACTGTAGATAAATTGAGCTAGTAGATGAAGTAGGGTGGAAGCAAGTACTGACCAATGCCATAGCTGAGCCTGACGACCGCCCCGAGCTTGTCCCACATGGCGAGCTCGGCGTCCCGCGCTCCGAACCCCGCGCTCCCGGCTGCTCCGCCGGCGCCTCCGCCGCTAGTAGCCACGGGGGCAGCAGTCACCTCGACGACCCTGGGCCCATCGGCGGCGAAGCTGGCGCCTCTCCGTCGCCGGTCTGCCCCGCCGCCGTCGCCCTCAGCCGCCGCGCGGATCCAGCTGGTGGTGCGGACCCGAGGGGAGAAGCCTATGGAACAGTGGGTGTAGGTGGCGGTGTAGCTGCTGCATCTGTGCGCCGAAACGGCGCTCCCCAGCTCCATGAATCTCTCTGCTGCGCAGGGGCGACGAACTAGAACTAGAACTAGAAGAGGAGGAGCCGGGAGAACGAACAGCTGGAAATGGCCGGCACACCGCACCCGCACGCGGACAGAGTCACAGAGAAGATACTTTGTTTTGTTTGTCGCCGGGAATAGATTATTCCGTTTGGCCCTCTGGCTCTGATGATCTGGACACGGACGGACGTCGTGGAGGAGGAGGAGGGGTAAATAAGCGATACTCCTACTGGAACGACAGGTGAAGCAGCTAGCAGACGAAACAAATGGATGGATGGAGACCAGCGGCGCAAGGCCGCCGCCGCTAGTTTCCTCGTCTAGTGCAGTAGTGCTAGTAGTCGTCCGCCTGATTTTGACGGTGATCGCGTGCTTGCTTGCTTGGCCCGTGCGTGGGTGTGGTCGTGGCGGGAAGCGTGTGGGCGCCGGCCGGCGCCAGATGAGAGGGGATTTGCGCCTTCCAATCAGCGCGGCGCACGTCAACCGCGACGTGATAAGGTCATCCGTAGTCCCGGTGGATGACGCGGCAACGACGAAAAGGTTAAAAACGTTTTGATTGGGCCAGCCGTCTAGCTAGACGGAGCAATGCAACCAGCCCAAGGGCGTATTCTTGGCAACTGTATGCAATGGAGCCCAAGCAGAGGAGGGCTGAGTTTATGGGCCTTTTTTATCCAGACGAAGGATTTGGGAGGCGCGGGTCGTGTGGAGCAGTCGAGCCTGATGTCTGTCTCCTCTAGCTGCGTAATGACGGCCCACGTTGGCCATAGCGGACCAACAAGACCGCGGCCAAGGAACGAGGAACTGCGGAAAGCCCAAAACCGGACCTGATCGCGGTGGCGCAGGCGGAAAAGTTGGAACGGCCGCTGCTTGAGGCCCAAATTATACCGCTGATTCCGGCGCTTCTTTCTCCCAGAGGAGCGGCCTTTATCAATCAACCCCCCCTGGGCCCGGAAAAGAATTTTGTGCACACTGTATCTATAGCTGCGTCATGATATATGGCGTGGATACCCGGCATGTGTTGGACTTGAACGATCCAACACTAGCTTAGCTAAGGAGTGGTCCTCCACTAAAAATAGACTCGGCTCCGGCCAGACTCGTTCACATGGCCACGTCCATCCACCGCATACCCGGATGTACCATAAAGACCAACATGTGTCAGGAGACATGAATGCATGGCGCAACCGTGGAGTTTTTATAGAGTTTTTGTTTCGCGGGCCCTGTACCGTGGATACAGTTTTCATAGAAATTTTGTTCCGCGGGCTCTGTACCGCTGGTTCCCTCAGGAGCTAGGTCCGGCCCTCCAGGCGCACTGGATTTCATTTCAGTGACAAATTTATTTTCTTTTTTATGAAAAGAGAAAAGAGACTGTCTGCTTTTACGAAAGCATATATAGGGCATGGCCAACCGGGGCTAACATTCTGCAATGGTTTCATCAAAAAGTCATGCCACGTCCACGGAGGAGCATCTGAGGCATCTGATCTTGCAATGCGAGCTGTCCAAGAGATGGCTTGTGGAGCCAGCTGTCGCACATCTTTTCTCAAATGTACTTTGGACCACGAGCTCATCCAGGCCTATGCTACGTGTGATGTTTAGATCTAGAGCGGAAAAGGTCTGAATGTTACATGGGATGTTACGTAAAGATATTGTATAAGGTGTTTGATATTAATAAAAAGATAAACTATAGAATTCGTCAGTAAATTATGAGATAAATTTATTAAGTCTAATTAATTTATCATTAGCGCATGTGTTAGTGTAGCATTTTATTATCAAATCATAGATTAATTAGGCTTAAAAGATTCATATCTTAAAGTAATGATAATTTATATAATTAATTATTTTTTTAATCTATATTTAATCCTACTCGCATGTGTCAAATATTCAATAGCTTTTCTCCAACGGACAGACATCAGCAAATAATACTCGTTCTGTGCCCCCCAGCGCGCTCCTCGGTGGTAGGCAGGGGCTCATTTAGATTGCAAGTTTTTTCACTCTCTTTTCATTAAATTAAATATTTTAACATATGCATAGAGTATTAAATATAGATAAAAAAATAACTAATTATACAGTTTGATTATAAATTACGAGACAAATCTTTTGAATCTAGTTAGACCATGATTGGATAATAATTGTTAAATACAAACCAAAACACTACAGTACCAAATACTGATTTCTAGCGCTCATCTAAACGAGGCCCAGCTTCTGCAAGCACCTATGCTGCCCTGCGAGACCACCAACAGATGTGACATGAACTGATGGACACTCAGGTGGTGATGTGGAAGTTGGGGCGGCACGCCACCGCAGTATTTTGGATGACGACTCGATGGACTGGGCCGTTTCAGACGTGATCGATCGATCGATCTGCCAGGCAGGCAGCCTCTAGGACTGACCTGACTGACATCACAAGCACGGACGCACGGTATAATCCAAGGCAAATCCGTCAGGAGGAGCGCCATCGGTGTGCAGGAACCCGTGGTAGCTGCGGTGCTGGCCTGTTCCCGTCGTCGTAGTATACTTGCCTAAGGAACGAAAACTCTATATGCTACTGATCGATTTGTATACTTCAATAATAATAATCCATGTTTTCTACAGTATATATATCATTGTTGGAGCCCAATCCACGCTTGATCGAGTAAACTCCTAGCTACGTAGTAGTGTGTACATCTCCAGCATGCTGCATGCGCCCTACTACTCCTACATCGACGACGTCGCAATCGAGCCAGGATTGGATCGGCGTCGTTGGGGCTGTTCGGCTCACCAGCCGGCTGAAGCTGTTTTTTCGTGGGAGAAAAATATTATAGATTCTAGCCGATAAGTCGGCTGATAAGTCCAAACGAATAGGCCCAGCAGAGTGATGAACTGGCTGCAGCTGCATGCCACCTAGGAGTAGCAACGAACTCCATTATTATTTCTCGTGATTTTTTGCTACCTCCAATCATGCATATGCGTCCATCATATAAAGGAGAGGCCCCGTTCGCTGGTCTAAATCTTGACTGAAACTGGCTGAAAAACACTGTTCTATTTGAATTGTTGTAAGAGAAAAACACTGTTCCTTCTAAAAAAACAAGCCGAACTAGCCGAATATGGGGTAAGCCGAACGAAACCTATATGTCATGTGTTGGCCTGATCATGATATCGATGAGAGCCGGCCGGCCTGATCGGTAATAATGCGTGGTATGGCAACGTACTGGGTAAAAATTCACGCGTCCACGGCCGGTCCCGGACCAGACGTCCCCGCGGCGAGAAAGCTAGCTCAGCTCCTCGCGACACGATCTCCGGCGGCGAGCTGTCTGTGACAGCTGAAAGGGGCCGGTAAAAGAAATGATTTGTCGATCAGTCTCCGGCCGATCCGCTTTATGCAAATGCAATGCAACGACGACAACCGTCACCGTAGTGAGAGGTGGAGCTCCCAATGCGGCAGGGTGGGGCTGCTGCCCCACCTACCACCGGCGGGAGCACCTAGTACCCCTGTCTTCTTCCTCAGGCGCGCCGTTCGAGCGGCGGCGTTCGGCCTCTGATGGCATGGCTAGACACCTGACTGGACTAGAACATATTGTTTGGAGAGGGTCCAGAGCCACATGAGCGAAGGCCAAAGGCCCAATAGAAGAATAGAGTCCATCAGCACAGCATCAAGGAATCACCTAGCTCTTGATCCCCAATCCCCCGACCCCGTTAGTTCATCACCGCGACATGCATCAGGCCACCGCCCCTTACTGCCAGTGCCGCCGCCCCTTGCCACGATGGCCTTAAGGTTGCAGGTTGCCGCTCGCCCATGCCTATTCTCTCAGCGGCTCAGTGCTACAGTGCAGAGGAAGGGCAGCAGCCAGCAGGTTACGGAGGATGGGGTTGGAGCATGGTGAAGGTGAGCAGGTGAGATTTTACTTGTATCGTGTAATTAAGATTAGTTCTTTAATAGTAGGCTAGTGGTATGTCTCCTTATTATAGTGTGTGTTTTTAGATGTATTATCATATATAATTATAATTAATTACAAGGTAGTGGAGGATCTCTCCTTCCTGCAAGGTTGCGGGAGAGTTGGCGGTCCTTGAACTGCAAATCCCGCAGGGAGTTCGACTAGAGCTACGGAGCGCCGGACACTATAGGAGAGCGCATCCAGGGCAGCCGTGGCAACGACTGTGGACGCGACATCAGACAGCAACCGAGGAGGGATGACGATGACTATGATGGCAGACGCAACCACGGCAACCGCCGTCACCGAAGCATCTCCAACTGGGCCAGAAGCTCACACTGCAGGGTTGGAGTGGATGACTGTGTCAGCTCCAACAGGTGGCGCGGCCAGAGGGACTCCCCTCCTCGCAGAAGCAGGCAGGCAACACAAGGTCTCCAAGGGCCATCACAAGTCTGGAGGGTCAAGGAATGCAATGTGGAAAAGAAGCACAAGAAGGTCTCCTTTGCCAACCCAATAGCAACTGAGCTAAAGCCCCCAAAGATTGTCATCCCCGACGACAACATCTTGCTTATCAAGGAAACCCAAAACACTCAGGGCTACAACAGTGTGAAAGTTGGGGGAAGACTGATGAACAAGTTAACCCAAGTGAGCAAATCTTTGAATATACACCTTTTGAGTTTGGCATGCCATCAACAGAGCTAGCGCCTAATGAGGTATTGCACACTGGTGCATACCCTGACTTTGCCTATGCAGATCTGGCAATAGGTGGAGAGATGTTGGCAGGACAACACAACACACAGGTCAAGGAGGTTGTAGACATCAATGTCCACAAGGAACAGGACGTTCCATTCACCCCAAGTGAGAAGGCTAACACTACAACCAATATGCAGGATGCTATTGCAGAATCTAACACACTTCCTGTCACCACTTATTCTGGGGAGTCTGTAGGCACAGAGATGGAAAAACTCAACGCCACCAACGAGCAAATGCTGGGTCTGGTGCTAGGCCATCTGCGCAGCATGCTGGTGAGCTCTCCTGCTGTAGATAAATCCTTACCAGTACAAGTTGATACTGAAGTAGTGAATG